AACCGCCCCTGGTGGTGTTAACCCGGGGAAAGGTGGGTTTTAAACCGGCCCCCTGTGGGTTAAAACGGTCCATGGGGGGTTGAACGCCACTGGGGGGTTTTTAAAAGGACTTGGTGGGGAAACCCGTATGGAGGTTTTAAGGGCCCCCTTGGTCGAAATGCATTGGGGAACCGGGCCCGGGGTTTTTTTTGGCCCCTTGGGTTAAAACCCCCCATTTTTAAGACGGGTGGTTTAAAGGGAAAAGGGGTTTAAAGGACGGGGGGAACGGCCCTTGGTTTTGAAGGCCCCCCCGGGGGGGGGTTTACCTATGGGGTTTTTTTAAGGTACTGGTGGTGTTGAAAAGACCTGGTGGGTTTTGGAGGGGGTTAGGAAGGGGTTTTAACGGGTCCCTTGGTTTGCCGTCCCTTTTGTGTTAAAAAGGCCCCTGGGGTTTTTTTAACCCCGGGCCCGGGGTGGAACCCCGGCCTTTTGGTGGGGAAAAATCCCGTGGGTGTGAACCGGAGGTGGTTTGAACCTCCCGGTGGGTTGAACCCTCCCTGGGGGTTTTTAACGGCCCTTTTGGGGTTAACCGGGACTTTTTTAAAGTAATGGGGTTGGAAACCGGCCCCGGTGGTTTGACCCCTTTTTTACTTTGGGGTTTCCCCTCCCTTTTGGGGGTTGACCCCTCCTGGTGTGTTGAACCGGGCAAAGGTGGTTTTTTCCTCCATGGTCGTTTAAACCCCAAAGGGTTTTTTAACCGGGGAGGGGGGTTTTAAACCCCCCCCGGGAACGGCAAAAGGGAGGGAAACTTTTGCTTTTTTGAAATACGGGGGGTGAAGGCCCCCCCGGGCGAAAACGGTCCCTTTGGGGTTGAAAGCCCCAGGGGGGGGACAGGGGGGGCCCCTTTGGTCGGATTGTAAGGAGGAAAGTCGGGGTGATAATGGGTTCCTCCCCGAAAAGATTTACCAAACAAAGGGGGCCCAAAAAAAAAAAATAAAAGGGGGCCCCAAAAACGGTTTTCCCCTGCAACCATAAAAAAGGGGCGGGGAAGTGGTTCAAAAAAAAGGGGGAAACCAAAAAAGGAAGAGGGGAAAAAAAAGTTTTTTTCACTTTTTTGAGTTAGAGATTTGCTAGTAATTTTTTTCCCCCAAGTTTCATTTTCAATTTTTTTTATCATTTTTTTGGGACCAAAGCAAAAATTTTTAAAAATAAAGAAGGAAATTAGGAAAAGAGGTTAAACATATCCCGACATTTTGGGTCCCTTTTTAGATTTTTCCCGCTAAGGCTGTCTTTAAACCGGGGCCCGGGGCTTTTACCCCGAAAAACCCCTTATTATTTAATATAAGCCATGCCTGCTTGGCGTTAATGGGTTATCCTGGGTTATTAACCTCCTCCTCCTCCTCCTCCTGGTCTAGTCAGTGTGTCGCTCCGTGTTTGTTAGTGCTGACACAGACATACAAGAGTGTGTTTGTTCTCTGAATGATACCGTTGTCAAACACACACACACGACCCCTGCAACCATAGCTAAGTGAGTACACACACGCACACACAAAGGAGAACAGGGGAGGATAAGGGGGACATAATAACGACTTATAAAATACTGAGAGGAATTGACGAGGTGGATAGGGACAGGATGTTCCAGAGATGGGACACAGCAACAAGGGGTCACAACTGGAAGTTGAAGACTCAGATGTGTCACAGGGATGTTAGGAAGTATTTCTTCAGTCGAAGAGTTGTCAGGAAGTAGAACAGTCTGGAGAGTGATGTAGTGGAGTCAGGATCCATACATAGCTTCAAGAAGAGATATGATAAAGCTAATGGAGCAGGGAGAGAGTGGACCTAGTAGCGACCAGCAAAGAGGTAGGAAAAGGAGCTGTGAATCGACCCCTGCAACCATAAATAGGCGAGTACGAATAGGTGAGTACACACACACGAAGAAGTTAGAGTACATAAGCCAGACGTTGTCATTGAGAGCTTATGTACAGTGGATTGTTGTGTCCACCTTCTGTGAAGCTCATAGGTAAGACACATGTGCAGCAGTTAGGTATCTTTATTCCGAAACGATTCACCTACACAGTAGGTATCTACAGTCGAGTACAGAGGAGGCAGCAGAGGCAGTAGAGATGTAAAGACTATGTAATCAGTCCCTCAGCCTGGAGAAGAGTTTTGCACCATAGTCTGGAACAGTGTGAAGCTTCACTAATAGCAAAACTCTTCTCCAGACTGAGGGACTGATTACATAGTCTTTACATCTCTACTGCCTCTGCTGCCTCCTCTGTACTCGACTGAAGAAGCCTACTTATCAACTTGTCGGTATTGTATCCCATTATCATATCTACTCAGCGAAGTTGAAGCTGGTTATGGGTGGACCTGCTCTCCCTGTTCACCTAGCAGTAAAATGGGTACCTGGGTAGTGGGTGGCATCCTGGGACAAAATTGACCTAATTTGCCCGAAATGCTCAGCATAACAAGCGGCTTTCTATATAGTAGTATGTCATTGATGTCAGCTAGGACTGTATACCTTGTATATGTACTTTGGAAATTAAGACTATTATTATTATTATTATTATTATTATTATTATTATTATTATTATTATTATTATTATTATTATTATTATTATTAACGAAGAAACTCTGCACCAGGAATAATGGCCTGCTACATAGCAGGTCCTGCTGGACCGTGCTAGGCAGGTCCTACTGGACCGTGCTAGGCAGGTCCTACTGGACCGTGCTAGGCAGGTCCTACTGGACCGTGCTAGGCAGGTCCTACTGGACCGTGCTAGGCAGGTCCTACTGGACCGTGCTAGGCAGGTCCTACTGGACCGTGCTAGGCAGGTCCTACTGGAAAGTGCTAGGCAGGTCCTACTGGACCGTGCTAGGCAGGTCCTACTGGACCGTGCTAGGCAGGTCCTACTGGACCGTGCTAGGCAAGTCCTACTGGACCGTGCTAGGCAGGTCCTACTGGACCGTGCTAGGCAAGTCCTACTGGATCCGTGCTAGGCAGTCCTACTGGACCGTGCTAGAGCAGGTCCTACTGGACCGTGCTAGGCAGGTCCTACTGGACCGTGCTAGGCAGGTCCTACTGGACCGTGCTAGGCAGGTCCTACTGGACCGTGCTAGGCAGGTCCTACTGGACCGTGCTAGGCAGGTCCTACTGGACCGTGCTAGGCAGGTCCTACTGGACCGTGCTAGGCAGGTCCTACTGGACCGTGCTAGGCAGGTCCTACTGGACCGTGCTAGGCAGGTCCTACTGGACGTGCTAGGCAGGTCCTACTGGACGTGCTAGGCAGTCCTACTGGACATGCTAGGCAGGTCCTACTGGACCGTGCTAGGCAGGTCCTACTGGACCGTGCTAGGCAGGTCCTACTGGACCGTTCCAATTTATCTTCTCATTTTACTTCAGCCAAATTTTCTTACATTATTTTTAAAAAAAATTATTCATATATATTCTGTTTTTACAGGTTCCAGCTGACTTGGCTGCGTCATCGTTGTTCTCTCTCACCCACACTGACTCTCTCTCTCTCTCTCTCTCTCTCTCTCTCTCTCTCTCTCTCTCTCTCTCTCTCTCTCTCTCTCTCTCTCTCTCTCCCCTATCCAGTCATCCACCTTCCTCATCCACCTTTCTAGTCGGTTCATTCGTTCACTCTCCTGACCTTCCCTATTCACACACACGACCAGAGAAGAGGCGAGGCCAGGAGCTGTGACTCGGCCCCTGCAACCACAAATAGAGTACACACACACACCACACAACACACACACACACACACACACACACACACACACACACACACACACACACACACACACACACACACACACACACACACACACACACACACACACACACACACACACTGAATGATGCACATGTGTCTTACTTATATCTTGTCGGTATTGTATATCATTATCATATTTACACACCATTACTCTCTTCTCCCAGTCGTCCACACCTGTAACCTTCAGTACTTTGTAAACTGTTAACAGAGAAATAATCGTATGTAACTACCGTCAGTTATACCGCACACACCTGGGTATCTGTAACAAATACCACGCTACCCATTTGTCCTTTCTCTCATTACCATGGCAACGCTAGGAGTAACTTTTCCGGATGGGTAAAACGAGATTTTTGTTGACGTGTTGATGAGGAAAGACCTGGCGAGGCGTTGGTCCTCCCACTGTGAAGAACCACCAGCCTCTCACACCTCTCACTGCTCAATATTTTTGTTAGTGGGTTGGGATTTGAGAAGGACTTGCCTACTAAGGGCCGTTAGGTCTGTTTCAGTGTTCTTTCTTTCTTATGTTCTCATGTACGCTTATTAAGAAGGGTTGAAATAAGGTAGACGCTAGTTTATAACTAGCCGAGGGTGATCGAAGTGTCTTCACTCGTCAGAAAAACTCGTCTGACTCAGACGTCCATCAGGGTGGTTCGTTGAGGACGCTAAGGTGGTAGCCGGCGACCTTACAGTGTGGTGGGTCGTCTTCAGGGTAGACGCATGTCATCACCTCCTGTCACCTGTCAGACGCTATAATTGCCTTCTGTCTCCACAACAACAGCGGCAGAAATATTCTCTGTCAAGGCCAAGAATTTATTTTTTCCTAGTTTATATATATATATATATATATATATATATATATATATATATATATATATATTTTTTTACAAAAGCTGAATAAATGTTACGCGGCCTTAAATGGGTGTCTTAATGATGGGTGGTTTGAACTTGTAAGTGAAAGAATGAGAACAAGATATTGGGAATGTTGTAACGTGTGTTCAGTTGTTTAAGTATGATATGTTCTCCCTCATTTGTAAAAGCATTTAACGTCGAGAGAGATATTAGGGGGGGTGTGAGGAGAGCCTTGCACTTTATTATTACAATACCCGCCACACTGTCAGCAGAGGAATTGTTAGTGCCTCTCCTGCTGCCTCTTCCTTATCTTATTAGCTTTTTTCATTATCTCTTTCTGTCTCCATTATCTCCCTCTGTTTCTGTTATCTCTGTCTCCCTCACCGCCCTCCCCAGAACACCCAGGGTGCACTCCCGCAGGTAGGATGGTGGGTCGCAGCCCCTGCGGACGCCCGCCATCCCTATAACAGCCGCAGCCGCAATGTCCACCTCCCACTCTTCGGGGTCCTCATGCGGGCGGGTGTCAGGGGTATGGCCGCACTCGCTGGCCGCAGGAGGCGCCCTAACCCCGAAGAACTTGCTGCGTCTCCACAAACTACCCCTGGCCGCCCACCTGCACACGCCCACCGCCCCGCCGGGGCTGGACCTCTCACGCCCACTGCTGCTATACACCAACTACACCTCAACTAAGGTCAGTGCACAACCTTAAGTCTTATACACATTACGTATTTTTCTCAGTTATATTTTTTGAGAATTTCAACCATCCAGTCGCAACGAATGTTCATATGTACTTTCTAGTCACATGCACTACCAGAATGACCAGCAGGTCTGTAGACTGACCAACAGGTCTCTAGAATGACCTGCAGGTCTGTAGACTGACCAACAGGTCTTTAGAATGACCTGCAGGTCTGTTAGACTGACCAACAGGTCTCTAGAATGACCTGCAGGTCTGTAGACTGACCAACAGGTCTCTAGAATGACCTGCAGGTCTGTAGACTGACCAACAGGTCTCTAGAATGACCAGCAGGTCTGTAGACTGACCAACAGGTCTCTAGAATAACTAACAGGCCACCAGAATGACCAACAGATCTTTAGAATGACCAACAGGTCTCTAAAATGACCAACAGGTCTCTAGAATGACCAGAAGGTATCTAGAATGACTATCAGGTATCTAGAATGACCAACAGGTCTGCCAGAATGACCACCAGGCCGCCAGAATGACAGCAGGTCTGTAGACTGACTAATAGATCTCTAGAATGACCAACAGGTTTCTAGAACGACCAGCAAATTTCTAGAATGACCAACAGGTTTCTAGAACGACCAACAAATTTCTAGAATGACTAACAGGTTTCTAGAATGGCCAATAGGTTTCTAGAACGACCAACAAATTTCTAGAATGACCAACAGGTTTCTAGAACGACCAACAAATTTCTAGAATGACTAACAGGTTTCTAGAATGGCCAATAGGTTTCTAGAACGACCAACAAATTTCTAGAATGACCAACAGGTTTCTAGAACGACCAACAAATTTCTAGAATGACTAACAGGTTTCTAGAATGACCAATAGGTTTCTAGAACGACCAACAAATTTCTAGAATGACCAACAGGTTTCTAGAACGACCAACAAATTTCTAGAATGACTAACAGGTTTCTAGAATGGCCAATAGGTTTCTAGAACGACCAACAAATTTCTAGAATGACCAACAGGTTTCTAGAACGACCAACAAATTTCTAGAATGACTAACAGGTTTCTAGAATGGCCAATAGGTTTCTAGAACGACCAACAAATTTCTAGAATGACCAACAGGTTTCTAGAACGACCAACAAATTTCTAGAATGACTAACAGGTTTCTAGAATGACCAATAGGTTTCTAGAACGACCAACAAATTTCTAGAATGACCAACAGGTTTCTAGAACGACCAACAAATTTCTAGAATGACTAACAGGTTTCTAGAATGACCTCACAATCTACTACATAGCTACAGAAACTTTTGACTCAATCACCATGTTTCAAAGATAACACACACGTCTTAAAGATAACACACACGTCTTAAAGATAACACACACGTCTTAAAGATAACACACACGTCTTAAAGATAACACACACGTCTTAAAGATAACACACACGTCTTAAAGATAACACACACGTCTTAAAGATAACACACACGTCTTAAAGATAACACACACGTCTTAAAGATAACACACACGTCTTAAAGATAACACACACGTCTTAAAGATAACACACACGTCTTAAAGATAACACACACGTCTTAAAGATAACACACACGTCTTAAAGATAACACACACGTCTTAAAGATAACACACACGTCTTAAAGATAACACACACGTCTTAAAGATAACACACACGTCTTAAAGATAACACACACGTCTTAAAGATAACACACACGTCTTAAAGATAACACACACGTCTTAAAGATACACACACGTCTTAAAGATAACACACACGTCTTAAAGATAACACACACGTCTTAAAGATAACACACACGTCTTAAAGATAACACACACGTCTTAAAGATAACACACACGTCTTAAAGATAACACACACGTCTTAAAGATAACACACACGTCTTAAAGATAACACACACGTCTTAAAGATAACACACACGTCTTAAAGATAACACACACGTCTTAAAGATAACACACACGTCTTAAAGATAACACACACGTCTTAAAGATAACACACACGTCTTAAAGATAACACACATGGCTTTAAGATAACACACAGGGCTTCAAGATAACACACATGGCTTTAAGATAACACACAGGGCTTCAAGATAACACACAGGGCTTTAAGATAACACACAGGGCTTCAAAATAACACACAGGGCTTCAAGATAACACACAGGGCTTCAAGATAACACGCAGAACTTCAAGATAACACGTAAGCCTATAGGATAACCCAGTAGACCTCTGAAATAACCCAACAGGCCCTATAGGATAAGCAAGTAGGCCTCTAATATAACCCAACAATCCTACAGGATAACCCCGTAGGCTTCTAACATAACTCAGCAGTCCTACAGAATAACCCAATAGGCCTCAGCTACTGGGTTATCCTGTAGGATTGTTCTCCAGGGACTCTGGAGAATCATCTAACATTCAGTACACGGACCCAGAGTGCCATTAACATTCAGTTCTACGTCCTTCTTCTCCCATTACTCTAAATGAGGTTCTTTGAGAACCTTTCACTATCGTTGTACAAGGTGTAGTGGGCAGTCTGGCCAAGTGATAGATGATGTTGTCTCAGAATATAGACACGAGGTATTGTTCTTTGCCAGTAGTATTGCGTGTGTTGGTCAGGGCAGGAGATCTGTAGTAATATCTTGAGGCATTGTTACTCAATGTGGATTCTTTTTTTTTATGAATTGTGTTAGTGAGTGACTGTGTAAGACCTAGTTTGACCTGGGAGGCTGAGATGTGACCTGGGAGGCTGAGGTGTGACCTGGGAGGCTGAGGTGTGACCTGGGAGGCTGAGGTGTGACCTGAGAGGTTGAAATATGACTTGGGAGGCTGAGGTGTGACCTGGTACTTGCAGGTGAGGGGCGTGTCGTTGAGGCCTGGTAGGGACGGAGGCCTGACTCCCGTGGGTCCAGCTATCGTCATCCCAGAGGCCTACACTGGTGAGTACACATCACCTCCTCCTACCTTCTAATCATGGAGGCTCTCTTTCTCCTCCAGTCTGTGATCAGTTAGGCTATTAGTGGTGACCTAGGCAGTGCCTCAGCCTGATCAGTCCTTTAATAACTATGAATAAAAGTCTTGTGATTTCACACACTCTGGGCTCTCAAGTCTCTGTACAACACTAAGTTGACCTGATACATGGATGTGTGAAAAACCATACCACGGGCGGGGATAGAACCCGCGATCAGAGACTCTCAAAACTCCAGACCGTCGCGACATGGATGTGTTCTTTCCATGGTTGTTACCATGGCCTTGTATTATTATTATTATTATTATTATTATTATTATTATTATTATTATTATTATTATTATTATTATTATTATTATTATTATTGATGGGGTACTGACGCCAGCCTGGGCCTTTCCTGCCCGTCCTTCAGGTTGGTTCGCTATAGTTACTAGCGAGGGTCACACTGCTCCATTCTTCTCTACAGTGGAACAAGTTGTCAGCAGTCAGGTGACCTTCTTCCTCACCCGCTACGATATTCCAGCCTACACTAACCTCCATGACGGTGAGACAACATCAAGTTATCCTTTACATTTGGAAGAGGTGGATGGGTAAGCCAAGGGAAGGTATCGGTCGTGTGACCCAAAGCTGCAGTGCCGGGTCATGTGACCGAGGTGGGTGTCTGGAAGCGCTGGTCCTGTTTCCTGACCTAATTAGTGATATGTGAGGATTAGGTTCAGTTATTCGTAGTGAAAATAAGAAGGCAAGAAAGAAGGAGCACTGTAATAGGCCTACTGGCCCATGCTAGGCAGGTCCACCTCACACCCACTCATGTACTTGTCTAACCTATTTTTAAAACGGTTCTTTGGACTGATCGAGAATTTGATTGTGTGCCTTAGAAATTTATATCAATCATTTTAGGCTAGTTTGGTAAGGCACATCATTGATAATGGTTACTTGTACCAGTTAATGAATCTCTAAATTGTATCTTGAAAGTAACTTCTCCTAAAATGCTAGACAGTTGCAACAGGCGATCTTAACACTGCTCAACAAGCCACGCGGGGGTGGAAATCTTTAGCTCTAGATCTTTCACACTCATGCGTCGTCAGGAGCTATGCAATGTCACTGTGACATGGGTTACCACTGATACCTTCTGCTTTCCCTCAGATAATTTCTCCTCTTATCTGTTGCTGTCTTGCAACATTGCATAGCTCCTGACGACGCACGAGACTGCGAAAGATCTAGAGCTAAATATTTCCGTCCCCGTGTGGCTTGTTTCGCATTCCTCTAAAATATGATATAAGGTACACAGTTTCTCTTTGGTGTTAAGAAATTCAGATAAAGTCTTCTTGTTCTTCTTTGTCTCGCTATTTCTGTATCGTTCAGCAAATTGTCTTTCCTTATAACATTTATTTTCCTATCTATTAACTCAAATTAAGCTCCTGGACAGAAGCAAGCAGTTCACTTGGGTTACAGTCGGTGCCTCTGACAGAATATAGTATTAGTTCTGGGTTAGCCACCTAGATGGCAGAGCGTCGGACTATAAATTTACAGACCGCGGTTCAAGCCTTTCGTCTACCTTTCTGCTTATTCACCTATCTACTTTTTGACCTCCTTTTGGTACTGCAGAAAGTGGTCGCACAACGTACCAGAAGACGGTGGTACAAAGCGGCCACGTGCTCAAGCTCCTGGGCATCTTCGAGGACCTCAACTCCAAGAAGACGAACAGTGGAGGCAGCCGGGCCCGCGATGCAACCTTCATCTTCCCTTGCAACAAATATGCCCAGTGTCTCAATTACAAGAACGAGGTAAGCAATGACTGCAGACAGTTTGCAACTAACCCACAGTCTAGGGAACACACTGCACGACCTTATGAGAGCTGCAGTATTTATTTCCGCTACTGTATAATAGGACGGTATAGTGGGACTGTATAGTGGGATGGTATAGTGGAATGGTATAGTGGGATGGTATAGTGGGACGGTATAGTGGTACGGTATAGTGGGACGGTATAGTGGGATGGTATAGTGGGATGGTATAGTGGGATGGTATAGTGGGACGGTATAGTGGTACGGTATAGTGGGACGGTATAGTGGGACGGTATAGTGGTACGGTATAGTGGGCCGGTATAGTGGGATGGTATAGTGGGATGGTATAGTGGAACGGTATTGTGGGTACTTGGGTGTTAATCGACTGGTGAGGGTCGCATCCTGGGACAAAACTGACCTAATTTGTCCGAAATGCTCAGCATAACAAGCGGCTTTCTATATACATAGTAGTATGTCATTGTTGTCAGCTAGGACTGTATACCTTGTACATGTACTTGTAGTAAATAAAGATATTATTATTATTATTATTATACTCATCCTGTGGGTGGTAGTCAAAACTTTACAGAGGTACATAATGGGTCCAGGAACTGTACCTCAACATTACAGAGGTACATAGTGGGTACAGGGACTCTACACCAACATTACAGAGGTACATAATGGGTCCAGGTACTCTACACCAACATTACAGAGGTACATAATGGGTCCAGGGACTCTACACCAACATTACAGAGGTACATAATGGGTCCAGGTACTCTACACCAACATTACAGAGGTACATAATGGGTCCAGGTACTCTACACCAACATTACAGAGGTACATAATGGGTCCAGGTACTCTACACCAACATTACAGAGGTACATAATGGGTCCAGGGACTCTACACCAACATTACAGAGGTACATAATGGGTCCAGGGACTCTACACCAACATTACAGAGGTACATAATGGGTCCAGGGACTCTACACCAACATTACAGAGGTACATAATGGGTCCAGGGACTCTACACCAACATTACAGAGGTACATAATGGGTCCAGGGACTCTACACCAACATTATAGAGGTACATAATGGGTCCAGGGACTCTACACCAACATTACAGAGGTACATAATGGGTCCAGGGACTCTACACCAACATTACAGAGGTACATAATGGGTCCAGGGACTCTACACCAACATTACAGAGGTACATAGTGGGTACAGGGACTCTACACCAACATTACAGAGGTACATAATGGGTCCAGGGACTCTACACCAACATTACAGAGGTACATAATGGGTCCAGGTACTCTACACCAACATTACAGAGGTACATAGTGGGTACAGGGACTCTACACCAACATTACAGAGGTACATAATGGGTCCAGGGACTCTACACCAACATTACAGAGGTACATAATGGGTCCAGGGACTCTACACCAACATTACAGAGGTACATAATGGGTACAGGGACTCTACACCAACATTACAGAGGTACATAATGGGTCCAGGGACTCTACACCAACATTACAGAGGTACATAATGGGTCCAGGGACTCTACACCAACATTACAGAGGTACATAATGGGTCCAGGGACTCTACACCAACATTACAGAGGTACATAATGGGTCCAGGGACTCTACACCAACATTACAGAGGTACATAATGGGTCCAGGGACTCTACACCAACATTACAGAGGTACATAATGGGTCCAGGGACTCTACACCAACATTACAGAGGTACATAATGGGTCCAGGGACTCTACACCAACATTACAGAGGTACATAATGGGTCCAGGGACTCTACACCAACATTACAGAGGTACATAATGGGTCCAGGGACTCTACACCAACATTACAGAGGTACATAATGGGTCCAGGGACTCTACACCAACATTACAGAGGTACATAATGGGTCCAGGGACTCTACACCAACATTACAGAGGTACATAATGGGTCCAGGGACTCTACACCAACATTACAGAGGTACATAATGGGTCCAGGGACTGGGCTGCAAAGTTTTGATAACTGAACAAGTTACGGTGGTAATGAACTATTTACATGTTTATATCTGGTTACAGTCGTAACGAGTTATTTATTCAGAAATGAATTAGGTCACCCGCACACAAGTTTAAGTGGTGGTGCGTTATTTACAGTTGACAAAGTCAGGGTATTTTTTCAGAGTGGCTGGGACAGCCTTGGGACTCAGATGCCATTTCTTCACGAGGAAAGAGTATTTTAAAAATAAGTGAACGGCGTTCTTCTCTTTCAGGTTGTGTTCTTGCCTTTCTCTACCACCGGTCGGTTCTATACGACGGCGCATAAGGCGAGCAAGAACCCAAGTCATGTGTACTTGATGGCTCACATTCTCAAGAACCACAAGTTACCCATCACCGTCCGCCTTGTGTGTGGCTACATGCCTCGTGTCCCGTGTAGCTTTACTGGTAGGTGGTCCCTTGTAGCTTTGCTGGTAGGTGGGCCCTTGTAGCTTTACTGGTAGGTGGTCCATTGTAGCTTTACTGGTAGGTGGTCCATTGTAGTTTTACTGGTAGGTGGGCCCTTGTAGCTTCACTGGTAGGTGATCATTTGTAGTTTAACTGGTAGGTGGTCCCTTGCAGGTGGCTGCCTTGCAGGTGGCTGCCTTGCAGGTGGCTGCCTTGTAGGTGGCTACCATGTAGGTGGCTACCTTGTATGTGGTTCATTTAAAGTGTAATTATAATCAGTTTTGTGATTGTCAGTATTTTATATTTAGTTTGTGAGGTATTAGGTGGTTGCTTAACTGTGAGTTGTCTCACTACCTCAGGTGTGCTGAGACTGGAGCAGGCACAGAAAGAGGCAGTGATCCTGGCCTGCACCATGACCAACGAGGCTCAAGCTACTCTCTTCGAGATCGACGTGTCGTCCAACTTTGTCTTGACGCCCGTTAAGGACCCGATGTTCCCCAAGACGCCCATCTTCCTGAAGACCGTCTCCTATTGTGAGGACGAGGCCGACGCCTGGAGAAGGCAGATCAAGGTGGGGGTCGACTGGATCCTCTAGTACAATGGTTTCCAAACTGGGGGTCACGGACCCCTGGTGGTATTGTTCTTCCAGCGTAAATTTCAACTAAAACTACAGTTATTAACATAAAAATGGTTTTGAAAATTGACGAGTTGAAGAATGATATTTTTGTGCAGTATTTGGGAATCTTTATTGAGGAAACTTCCCCCCAGCCAATGGACTGATTCCCTCAGACTATTCCTCATCTTCCACCGTTCTTCTCTGCATTGGACTGAAGAAACCACTGGCTGGCGAAACGTTTCCTCAGTAAATATTCCCAAATGTTGCACAAGTCTCTCATTCTTCAATTATTAACATGTAGCACGGTGAGGTGAACGAAAAATTGTGAGAGTAAAAACGTTGGGAAGCACCGTAACTTGTCCTAATCTACTAATCAAAAGTCCTCCTTCAACTCTCTGAACTTCTACATTGATGCTTGTTCACCTGAAGACTCTAGCAGCAACATTTTAGCGCTTAGTTTTGATTGCAATACTACTACTACTAATAATAGCAGCAACATTAATATTATTGGTCTTTGAATGTCTGAGAGTCCTCTGATTATCTTCTGGTTCTCTTACTGTGTCTGTTATGTCATGCTGTTGTTTTAGCATTATTATATCAGCATCATTGTTACTCACAGTGTACAGTTATTAGTTTGTTGTTACCTTGTTTGTTGTGTCGGTAAAACCTGACACATCTGTGGCATAAGATAAACCATTCAGTGGTACTGGTACAATGGTGGAGGCATTTAACAGTGCCTACACTATGATGAAGGCGCTACAGTACGGTTTCTGAAAACATGTGATGTTGGACTAGTCACAGGTTCAGTAGTCTGAGTGGAAAAGCTTACATATCAAGTTTGGTTAAAACGATATCAAATCATTCACTAATATATCAGTCGTCTCTTAGGACATATCTACTGATGTTATACCAACACTTGCGCCTGAAATATCACATGTTCTTTATTCTATATTTTAGCAATAGCTGATGCAATGTCTGTTAAGTCATTCATTTTCAATACGCAATCCAGCACAAACGTTGAAACTAAAAATTGTCATTTTGATGTGAAATGTATGTTTTATTTTCCATTAGAGTGCTTATGTACAATATATTATCTGTTACTGGTATTTCCTGTTTATAAACCACAGGTTGGTGATGCTGGTAGGTCTGATATGAACTTGTAACATGCTGCAAACTCCTTCAGATTTCTTTGCTCCTTAAATAAAAATTTTCTCTCTCACCACTGCAGGTAACACATCACGTGACAGAGAAGAGATCTAAATCCCTGAGTCGAAGTGACAAGTTCTTGGAGCAACCTCGGCCTGGGAGCTTCGCCCTTCTGATCGACCATGACCGTAAGAAGGTAAGAGGGCGAGACAAGTCAAGGGAGCGACTGGCTGGCCTCCGCATCAGGGATACAACACCAGACAAGAGCAAGGAAAACATATTTCGCAACACAAGTTTAGAGAGGTTGCCTGAGAGAATTAAAGTCAGGCTGAGAGACAAGAGTAAAGATAAACAGCAGGAAAGAATTAAAGTCAAGCTGCACGGTATACACGAAGTTAAGCTGGACAGAAGCGCAGACAAACCGCAAGATAGATCTGCTAACAAGGTGAACAAGGAGGACCAAGACCAGAGGAAAGTGTCGAAGCAAAACACATACATCTTTCAGAACGGACGAAGTACCAAGGTCCAGGAGAAACAGCAGGAGGCGGATGCAGTGAGCAGACTTGACAAATCGTTAGAAAGTCTGGACTACTCGAGAGTCGTTGACGACATTAGCCCAGTACGAGGCGGTGAGGACGAAGAACAACACTACGCAGAGATCTGTGAGCATATCAGCAAGAAGAGTGGCGTCTCGGGCAAGAAAGATGTCCATAAATGCGAGAAAAGAAAATCTATAGGGGATAGAGACAGCTTCGCCCATGATCCTCAATCCAGTGACAATTTGTGCTTCACTCTCTTGAAAAAAGACATTGGTGGCTACTACGTGAAGATCCCAGGCTTCGAAGTCCCTAAGGATGACTTCGAGCCTGGGACACACAGTGACCAAAACAGGAGTTACGATTCCCTATGTTAGACATTCACTAGTATTATTCGTTTAAGTATTTTATACCTGTTCCACACGTGTTATTCACCGTCTCGTCGTACAGTGCAAGATTTCAACGACAGACCTAGAACGAGACTGCGTCAGTGTACACTGGGTATCACGCTAAGTTTTATCTGACAGTGAAACTGATACGCTGAGTGAAGCACTTGTGCTGGCAAGTAAATTTGTTAACTTGTTCATGGTACCATAAAATAAAGCTATAATACGGCTGTGTTTTGAGTAGGGGCATATACATAATTGTAATATGGGAACATATTACAATTATCTATACAAAAATATAGCCTAAGCATGTGTTAGTGTGGTCTGATAATATAGAGGTCGAGTAGACCGATAGTATATAAACAAGTCATAGACTGCAGGTTATGGTATTTGTAAAAACGTTTCATCCACTAGGAACTATATTGATAAAGTCCCTGGTGAGCGAAATGTCTTCACAATAAAATGCCATAACCCGCATTGCGTTTTCTTTAACAGGTATTACTTAGGGTGGGAGGAAAATGACTTCTTTTAAGTCTGCTCAAGGGACTTCAGGGAGAAAAAGTCTGCTCAAAGAAACACACTGTAAATGTCCACACCTGGGAAACTTTGGAACAAGAAAGGAAAACAAAGTTTGATACATGCTTTTATAAGTAAATTCACAGCCTCTGTGTTGGAATGCGTCAAGTTGCAAAGGAGGACAAAATAAACCTCGTGTACTGATAAACCAGGATTTCAAATACGTTGAATATAAACCGGGAAGATATATCTGGAAGATGTCAGTCTGCTAGACGGTATAAGCTACATTACCGTTTTCCTGCCTTCTTAATAAACCTATTTATTCTGATTGGTTAGGTAGATAACTCTGCCACTTGCAAATGCACGTTATCCATGAGTCAAAGATAACAGTTGCAGTGCAACTTCCGTTGACACGAGTTCTGAGAACTAAGCTGTGAAAATAAGGTTTGATCTCCTTCAGCCAAGTGTTAAACACTTTATGATGAGATCTGTCAGCGTAGCACTCAGCTCGTGTGACAAGCGATACCACAAATGACTGAACTTGTGTGACGCTAGAGGGCTTTCCGTGAGTTTAAGACCGCCAGAGACTGGTGTCTGTACCAGGACAAAAAATGAAAATACTAGCCTCTTTACTTAATGTAAAGTATTACGCCCATAACACGGAATCAATAATATTTCAATTCTAAATCAGGCATTAGATTAAACTCTCAGTAAACATACTCTAAGAGATAAGTTCTAGCTGCTTAGGTATGGAAAGAATGAAGAACTAAAAAGGGACACTGTATACATAAGTCAAGAGGATTGTCAAATAGAACGCAAGGAACACTTGAATGTCTTCGGAATAATTATGTCAACTCTTGGGCCAGTATATGGTATCCGATCGTGTAAGAATCGGCCTTAACACTTACATGTGGTATTGAGGATCGGCGTCAAGAGAAGCCGATCCTAACCTTTATTGAAGAATTTAGTGATATGTTACTCTCAATACCACTTCGAGTATATTTGAATGTTTATATAATGTGGATGTTTATATCATGTGAACGTTTATATCATGTAAATGTTTTATATCTTGTGAATGTTTATATCATGTGAATGTTTATATCATGTGAATGTTTATATCATGTGTGTATACGAGTGCGTGTGTTCATACTATAAATTGATATATTAGTGTACTCTCGTGGCCATCTGTAATTACGAAATCTAAAACGTAACCACTGTACTAATGACGCCATCTGTGGCAGCTAATTCATCTACATAAAAAGTTATAACAAAATATCAACTATGTCAATAAACTTAATACCGAAAAAAAATACTGTGAAATTTTCTCATTTGAACCTTTACTGGTATAAACTAAAATTACATTCATAGTATTTTTTCATCTGTCTAATTGCAAAAAAAAAAAAGGCGCATGTAAATCTTATTTGCACTAGAGGGGCAATTCACGGTGGCTCTGTGGGAGAGGTTTTCGAATCGAACCCAGGTTCACAGTGAAGCGAACCGGGGTTTGATTTCCATGGAAAGACCTGCCTTGCTTACCTATCTCCCAGCATGTGGGTTGACGTCTTAGGTAATGGAGAGTGTCAGGAAACTCTAGCGGAGGTGAGTAATACAGCTGGATTTTAACGTGTTATCTTGGCCTGTTAACCCTCCTGTGTTATCCTGGTCTGTTGACTTTCCTGTGTTATCCCAGTCTGTTATCCTGGTCTTTTGACTCTCCTGTGTTATCCTGATCTGTTAACCCTACTGTGTTATCCTGGTCTGTTAATCCTCCTGCGTTATCCTGGTCTGTTAATCCTCCTGTGTTATTCTGGTCTGTTAATCTTCCTGTGTTATCCTGATCTGTTAACCCTACTGTGTTATTCTGGTCTGTTAATCTTCCTGTGTTATCCTGGTCTGTTAACCCTTGTAGTATATTAACCTTCTTGTGTTATCCTGGTCCATTAACTCTCCTACCCTTGTGGGTTTAGCGCTTAGTTATGATTAAAATAATAACATTAACTCTCCTGGGGTAACAATAACAAAACAAGAACATTTAAAACATTCTCTGCAGACATCGCTATCAGTTTAGTAACCTCCACGGTAATAAACTTGGTGATAAATACCTGAGGTTTGGATTGTTAGATATCAGGTTAGTCGACTGCGCAAGGGTCATTGAAACTGCGTGTCACCTGGGTACCATCAGTCAAGAATAATCCCGCAGGCAGGGATTAAATTGTATACAAGTACTAGGAGATACACAGCTCGAGGTGTATATACCCTTAGAGATGCGTACCTCCTGGTCAAGAATTTTGTATATACAGAGAGGTGCATGTCTTGTGGTGTATAGCCCTATTTATGGGATGGTTTTCTTGACTGGTGGTGAATGTTATATGTAGTCTTAAAACCCATCAACTCTACTGGCTTCTCTGCAGATTTCAAGGCCTGGGGAAAGCCGGTTGCTGACTCAGGTAGGGTAGGGTGTTTGGGTATCTGGCTCCGCGAGGATTTTAATAATAATAATAATAATAATCTTTATATCTACAAGTACATGTACAAGGTATACAGTCCTAGCTGACATCAATGACATACTACAATATAGAAAGCCCCTTGTTATGCAGAGCATTTCGGGCAAATTAGGTAAATTTTGTCCCCAGGATGCGACCCACACCAGCTGACTAATACCCAAGTACCTAATTTACTGATGGGTGAACATGGACAACAGGTGTTTTTTAAGGAAACATGTCCTAATGTTTCCACACGTACTAGGGATCGAACCATGGTCATGTCGACGTACAGGGCAATGAACAGGCAGACACTGCTGTGCGGTCAGCAGTATATGACCTACCAATTTCCTATCGAGGTGTTCCATTTCTGGACTATTTTGCTGCAATAGCTACCCACCTTCGCACCCGTTGGCAACAACGTTGGTCAACTCTGCTCGGTAACAAACTTCATTCTATTAAACCAAGCATAGGTTACTGGCCGTCTTCTTGTCATCGATGCCGAAGTTGGAGACCACTCTCTCCGCCTTCGCATTGGCCACACTCGTACTTACTCATGGTATCTCATGAGAGGCACCTGTTCCTCTCGTGAGCAGTGTCAAGTTCCAGTATCGATTAGCCACATTCTGTTAGACTGCCCTCTCTATCAACGAGCACGCAGAATTTACCTCCAACGTCGTCTTCGTTCTCCTACTCTCTCTTTACCTTCCCTTCTTGCTGATGGACCCTCCTTTAACCTGACTCTCTCATTGACTTCTTGACAACGACTGATTTACTCCACAAACTCTGATGATACTTTTCGCACTCCCCTCAGCCCTTTCTGGTTCAGTCTCTTGCTGCCCTTTACCCTTTCACCATCCACTGCCCCGCTGTTATCCGTAACCTGTTGCTCATCCATCTCCCTTTTGCCACCTGATGCCCTCGCTTCCTTCCTGCCCTGCAGCGCTGTATAGTCCTTGTGGCTTAGCGCTTCTTTTTGATTATAATAATAATAATAATGAACCTCACCGTGTGAGCTGAGTGCACTACCAATCGAGCAAGGGAGTACACCTGACGTCATTAAGAAACACATGTTCCCGTCTTGACGTAATTAAGACATAGTTTCGACGTTTATATTCCTAAAGGAAACCTCATTTCCTTTCCAATTCACGTCCAGATTTGGGCAATAAATTTTTTTGTACCGGACTTCAGGAAAGCCGTATTTAATACTGGGTGAGCTGTAGTGGCCCTTTTAAACCCCCACCAAAGCAATAGTTTACACGAGGGTAAAGGGGTGTTCTTCAGATACTCGCTGAAAGTTTACTTAACCCCTCTCTTCAGGGTAAAGTACACTTTACTGAGAGTAAAAACAGTTTAGGCAAGACCTGTCAGGATAGTAATGAAAGTACCTGAAAGAGGGAAAGACAAGACTAACAATGGAGGAGACACAAACTCACTCTGGCTCAGGTGAGCAATTTTTACCGCCAAATTTTTTTTAAAATGGGGA